AGCCTTACTGCAGGCCAATGCAGTACAACGGGAGACAAATCACCAGTTTGCGGAAGCCCAACAGGCACAACATGAAGCCCAACAGGCACAACATGAAGCCCAGCAAGCAGACCGAGAGCTGCTTAAGCAGGTGGCCCAACACCTGTTAGAATTAAAGAAGGAATCTGCAGATCTGCTGCCAGTGGAGCAGAAAATGGCGCGGGCCAGTTATGTTTTGCAGAAAATGACACCTGCGGATGATGTGGAGGCCTACCTCACAACTTTTGAAAGGGTTGCTGTTCGGGAAGAATGGAAAAAGGAGCAATGGGCAGGACTGCTTGCACCATTTTTGACAGGTGAATCCCAAAAAGCCTATTATGACCTGGAACCAGGGGATGCCCAGGACTATGAGAAACTAAAGGCTGAGGTCCTTGCACGCCTGGGCGTCACCATTGCAGTCCGGGCTCAGCGGGTGCATCAGTGGCATTACAGGGCTGACAAACCACCCAGATCACAGATGTTCGATTTGATACATCTCTCCAAAAAGTGGCTCCAGCCAGAGGTATTGTCAGGCCCTCCGATTGTGGAGCGTGTGGTCATGGACCAATATTTGCATGCACTCCCTACCCCTTTGAGGAAGTGGGTCGGCCGTGGAGACCCTAAATCTGCAAACGAGCTGGTGGAGAGATATGCAGCCGCTGAGGACTTTTTTCATTCACCTGGGCCGTACATCATGGTCACTAGGGGTGGAAAACTATCCGGAGGATCCGGTAAGACTGTTCCATGGGCCAAAGGCTCAGAAAAAAATGATAAGACTATTGTGTCAGATAATGAGACTGTAGGCTTAGGACCTAGAGACTGGCCAAATAGGTCAGGAAGGTCCCCAAAGCCATTTAGAGGTCTAAGCACTGAACATATAATATGTTATCGTTGTCATGCGTTAGGTCATATTGCTGCAAACTGTCCTTTAAATGATGAACCTATGCAATGTGAGAATGCGTATTTAGGAAAACGCATGCCTCTTTTTGCACAGGTGGTATGTTCTGCAGCATGTCAGAAACGCATGGAAAAGCAAATGTGTGTGATTGCAATTGATGAAAAGCCAGTAACTGCTCTGCTAGACTCGGGTAGTGTGTTGTGACCTTAGTTAAAAGTGATTTGGTAAACTCTGCAAGCTTACACCCTAGCACGATTGGGTTATTTGTATTCATGGTGATACACGTAATTACCAGACTGCTATAGTGGAGATTGATACTCCCTGGGGCCCTGTGACCCATTCTGTGGGGGTGGTGCCCTCCCTGCTACATGAAGCCATATTGGGGAGAGATTTTCCCCATTTCTGGAAGTTATGGGATAAGGAGGGGAGTCAGGAGGACCGCCCTCCCCCTGCTGGGGAAACACTGGAAACTCCTGAACTCACTCCTGACCCCTTTGACGGCAAGGTGGAAGGGGAAACTGTTGGTGTGTCCAAGGAAGGTTTAGACCTTCTCCCTTTCTCTGTAATGGCTGGGGAGCAGGAGGAGTTGGATCCAACCCCAGACACTGAGGATATGGAACAAGAAATTATCTCGGGTTCTAGTGGGAGTGGACAGAATGTCGTGCCTGACCTGGAGGTCAGAAAGGAGGATTTCTGTACAGAACAGCTGAAAGATTCCACTCTTAATAGAGCCAGAGAAAATATTAAAATGGTTGATGGGGAACCAGTTGAAAATGATGTAGGGGTGTCTTTTCCCTACATGGCTCTCAAAAATAACTTGCTATACCAAGTGGTAAAGCAAGGGGAGGAGGTGGTAGAACAGTTAGTGGTCCCCAAACCCTTTCGCCGGATGGTACTGGATTTAGCCCATGGGCATATAATGGGTGGACACCTGGGTGTAGAGAAAACAAAGGAGAGAATAACCCAGAGATTCTTTTGGCCAGGCTTACATGGAGACGTCAAAGTGCATTGTGAGTCATGCCCGGAATGTCAATATTCTGCGCCCTCACCCCATTTTCGCAGTCCGCTAGTACCTCTACCCATAATTGAAGTACCGTTTGAAAGAGTGGGCATGGACCTAGTGGGTCCAGTAGTAAAGTCTGCCCGGGGCCATCAGCACATACTGGTTATACTTGACTATGCCACCCGTATCCTGAAGCCATCTCCTTGCATAATACCTCAGCTAAAAATATCGCCAAAGAGCTTTTCCGGGTGTTTACTCGTGTAGGTATTCCAAAGGAGATATTAACGGATCAGGGCATGCCATTTATGTCTAGAGTTATGAAAGAGTTATGCAAATTGTTCCAAATCTCCCATCTTCGTACCTCGGTCTACCACCCCCAAATTAATGGGCTTGTGGAAAGGTTTAACAAGACCCTTAAGAATATGTTAAAAAAGGTGGTGGACAAAGATGGGAGAGATTAGGATTTTTTGCTACCATATCTCATGTTTGCTATACGGGAAGTACCTCAGGCATCTACCGGATATTCACCTTTTGAATTACTGTATGGTAGACATCCCAGGGGATTGCTGGATGTTGCAAAAGAAACCTGGGAGACAGAGTCCACGCCCTATAGAAGTGTCATCGAGCATATCTCACAGATGCAGGATAGAATCGCAGCTGTCATGCCACTTGTTCGGGAACACATGGAGCAAGCCCAGGAGGTCCAGAGAAGGGTTTATAACCGGGGTGCCAGGATCCGTACCTTCAACCCTGGGGATAGAGTGCTGGTGCTAGTCCCCACCGTGGAAAGTAAATTCCTCGCAAAGTGGCAAGGTCCCTTTGAAATTAGGGAGAAAGTGGGGGGGAAGTAAATTATAAAGTTTACCAGCCAGGGAAAAGGAAACCCGAACAAATCTATCATGTTAATCTCTTAAAACCTTGGAAAGACAGGGAAAGTTTGTTGGCAGTACCAAGCCCCCAAAAGGACGTGGTTCCCGTGGTCCCTCAGGTACCTATAACGGAAACCTTGTCAGTAGCCCAACAAAATGATGTTAAAGAGTTTTGTGAGGAAAAATGGAGATTTCTTCTCTCACCTACCTGGACTGACGACGGTCATACAGCATGACATAGTTACCCAGCCCGGGGTCCGCGTAAATGTCAAGCCCTATAGAATACCCGAGGCCAGGAGGGAAGCGGTGGCAAAGGAAATAAAGGACATGTTAGAGTGGGAGTGATTGAGGAATCTCACAGTGAGTGGTCGAGTCCCATAGTGTTGGTCCCAAAACCAGATGGAACAATTCGTTTCTGTAATGATTTCAGGAAACTGAACAGTGTGTCTAAGTTTGATGCGTACCCGATGCCTCGGGTGGATGAGCTCATTGACAGGTTGGGAACGGCTCGGTACATAACCACCTTAGATCTGACCAAAGGCTATTGGCAGATTCCTTTAACAGAAGCTGCAAAAGAAAAGACGGCATTCTCCACCCCTGAGGGGTCCTTTCAGTATAAGCGGATGCCGTTTGGTTTGCATGGGGCTCCTGCATCATTCCAAAGGATGATGGACAAGACGTTGAGACCACATCGCCAATATGCAGCTGCCTATTTGGACGATGTCGTCATCCACAGTCCAGACTGGGAATCTCATTTGTCCCGCTTGCAAGCGGTCGTAGATTCGCTGCGGGAAGCAGGTCTTACCGCCAACCCCAGAAGTGTGCCATAGGCTTGAGGAGGCCAAATATCTTGGCTACATCATTGGTCGAGGTCTTATTAGGCCTCAGATCAATAAAATTGAGGCAATTCAAAAGTGGCCCCAACCTGTAAATAAAAAGCAAGTCTGGGCATTTCTTGGAATCACGGGATACTACAGGCGGTTTATCCCCAATTTTGCCACCATTGCAGCCCCACTGACAGATCTGACAAAAGGTAGGGGGTCGGTCATGATTAAGTGGAATCCCGAGGCGGAGACCGCATTTCAAAGGCTGAAACAAGCTCTCTGTGCTCAACCTGTGCTTGTGACCCCAGATTTCCCAACAGAGTTTGTGGTACAGACTGATGCCTCTGATGTGGGACTAGGTGCTGTCTTGTCCCAAATCAGAGAAGGGGAGGAGCACCCTGTGGTCTTCCTAAGTAGAAAGCTCTACAAACATGAGAGAAACTATGCCATTGTGGAGAAGGAATGTTTGGCCATCAAATGGGCCTTGGAGGCCCTGAAATATTACCTGTTAGGAAGACCGTTCAAGTTGGTTACTGATCATGCCCCGCTCAAATGGATGTGTGATAATGAGGAGAAAAAACAGTCGAGTGACAAGGTGGTTTCTCGCGCTACAAGTGTTCAAATTCACAGTGGAACACAGAGCAGGGAAACTGCAAAGTAATGTAGATGCCCTCTCCCGGGGTCCATTGCCTGGTTGGGACAGTTGCTCAGCCGCAGGGGCTTGAGCAGAGGGGGGGGGATATGTGACAGGATGAACGGCGAGGTGATAGAGGGACGCTATGTGTCACCTTGCATATGCTCATACCTGACAGTATAGGTGGAGTCCACTCCGGGTTTTCGGGGCCACAGTTAAGCAGGTGGGTCCAGACCAGAGTTTGGGCTCCACTGATGTCCACCAACAGGTGATATAAAAAGGGCAGGGCTGGAGCAAGGAGTCGCTCGTGGCCTGGGACTCAGAGAGGTGTTCTGAGAGAACTGTGTGTACTATACCTACAAGAAAAGGTTTGCTTTTGTTTTGTTTTTGGTGACAGGGAGAAGCCCTTCACCTCTGAGAGCGGAAACGTCTTCTGTTTAGTTAGTGCCTGGATGGCAAGGGTTTATTTTGATGTTTTGTTTATTTTGATATTTTCTGCAAACCTTTTAACTAGTTGCCGACCGCAGATAGCCGAATGACGGCTGCACTGCGGCCGGCCAGTTCTGGGTGGACGTCATGACGTCCCCCCAGAACGCACTCTCCTGCTCGCCCCAGGGGGCGCGCACCCCGGTGATCTCCGTGATCGCTGTGTCCTACGGACACAGCTGATCACGAGATGTGGTAAAAGGCCAATCATACCGGCCTTTTACCACGTGATCAGCGGTGTCCAATGACACGCTGATCACAGGGAAATGCAAGTGCCGGTTCTCGGCTGCACTTTCCTCACGCTGTCAGATCGTGAGGAAAGTACTGCCGAGAACCGGCAGTTGTCAGAGCGAGGATCGGCACCGATCATCAGGGCACTGATGATCCGTGCCCTGATGATCGGTGCCCAGCAGTGCCACCCACAAGTTCCGCCCACCTGTGCCCAGCAGTGCGCCCACTAGCTCCGCCCACCTGTGCCCAGCAGTGCACCCCACCTGTGCCACTCTGCAGTGTCACACACCTGTGCCCAGAAGTGCCGCCTACCTGTGCCCACCAGTGCCACCCACCTGTGCCCACCCACCAGTGCTGCCCACCAGTGCCACCCACCAGTGCAGCCCAGCAGTGCTGCCAGTCAGTGCCACCAGTCAGTGCCCAGCGGTTGTGCCAGTCAGTGCCGCCAGTCAGTGCCCAGCAGTGATGCCAGTCAGTGCCGTCTATCAGTACCCATCATCAGTGTCACCTATCAGTGCCGCCTATCAGTGCTGCATATTAGTGCCGCCTATCCGTGACACCTCATTAGTGCTGTCTATCAGTGCCGCCTATCCGTGCCACCTCATTAGTACTGCCTATCAGTGCCCTTTAGTGCTGCCTATCAGTGCCCATCAGTGCTGCCTCATCAACGCACATCAGTGAAGGAGAAAAATTACCTGTTTGAAAAATTTATAATAGAAACAAAGAAACTTTTTTTTTTTTTTTCAAATTTTTTGCACTTTTTTAATTTATAGCGCAAAAAGTAAAGCGCCCAGTGGCGATTAAATACCACCAAAAGAAAGCTCTATTTGTGAGAAAAAAATGATCAAAATTTCATATGGGTACAATGTTGCATGACCGCGCAATTGTCAATCAAAGTGCGGCAGCGCTGAAAGCTGTAAAATTGGCCCGGTAAATAAGGGGGTATAAGTGCCTGGTAGGCAAGTGGTTAAATAAAACTGACAACCAGTCAGATTTTTGACGAAAGCCTGCTGTGCGGTCTACCTTTTTCCCAGGGAAGGAGATCACCCACCTGAGCTAACCCCACAATATGTATATATATATGTATGTATATGTGTATATATATGTATATGGGAAGGTTTGCCCATTCTTCCAGAAGCACATTTGCTTTGTGCACTGGTGCGCAGTCATGTTGGAACAGGAAGGGGCCATCCCCAAACTGATCCCACAAAGTTGGGAGCATGAAATTGTCCAAAATGTCTTGGTATGCTGACACCTTAAGAGTTCCCTTCAATGGAACTAAGGGGCCAAGCCCAACCCCTGAAAAACAACCCCACACCATAATCCCTCCTCCACCAAACTTTACACTTGGCACAATGCAGTCAGGCAAGTACCGTTCTCCTGGCAACCGCCAAACCCAGACACGTCCATTGGATTACCAGACAGAGAAGCGTGATTGGTCACGCCAGAGAACACGTCTTCACTGCTATAGAGTCCAGTGGCAGCGTGCTTTACACCACTGTATCCGATGCTTTGCATTGCACTTGGTGATCTTAGGCTTGGATGCAGCTGATCGACCATGGAAACCCATTCTATGAAGCTCTCTATACACTGTTGTGCTAATCTTGAGGTCACACAAAGTTTGGAGGTCTTTAGGTATTGACTCTGCACACAGGTAGCGTCTTCTGCGCACTGTGCACTTCAGCATGCACTGACCCCGCTCTGTCATTTTATGTGGCCTACCACTTGGTGGCTGAGTTGCTGTTGTTCCCAGTTTCTTCCACTTTGTTATAAGACCACTAACCGTTGACCGTGGAATATTTAGTAGCCAGGAAATTTCACGGATGGACTTATTGCATGTCAACCTATCACGACTTTTGGCAATATAGTGTATGTGTTATCTTCTTTTTGTCAGTAAACAACACTGTACTTTGACCAAAACTGGGCCCTACATGGATCAAAATTCAGCCAGATCAGCAGGGACTTGCTGAATGTTGATCCATGTATGAGCACTGTGGTTGTATAGAAGTTGATCTACTGATGGACTTCTGTACACCACCGGGGAAAGTGGCGGGGAAGTCTTCCCACTGTCAGGATACAATGGCATAGCGGAGAGGATTCCCTCATCTATATTGAATGTGGAGATGGTGGAATTTAGTCGTGTTTTTTTTTTTTTTTTTTTTTTTATATTTTTTTTAATATTCAATGAAAAATTACTAATCTGTGGCCCGCCTGATTAGACACTATATCTTTCCTTCCACTGACTGGTCTGTACAGGGCCAGTGCTGTGTTTGTTTAGAGTAGCTTTGGCTCATGCGTATTCAGCTGTTGGGGACCAGTTCAGAAACTAAGAAGGGGTTAGAAGATGTGTAGGGGTAGGGAAGCCACCTTATATACCTGGGTGCTGCCCATCTTCAGCACTGAATTAGACTTGGTATTGGGCCTCTAGCAGTTCACTCTAGCAGAGCTCAGACAGGGAGAAGGAAAGGCAGCACAAGGAGCCAATTATCTATACTGTACTGCAAGAATCCTGCTGATAGGAGAAGGAGCACTGTGGCAGAGCAAACCTGCAGTAGAGAGAGCTCACATCTTCTGGCATTCTAGACATTATTGTGCTGTATGGCAGAGCTGTATATATCTTAGAACTGGAAGGACAGAAATACAAATCCTTTGACAGGGAAAACCACTTATATGTATTTCATTTTTTTATTTAGACGTGTGCCTGGAGTTCAGCTTTAGTGTAGCTTTACATTGCTCTGGTGCAGTCTTGCTGCAGATTTGGGCAAAGCACTGCTAAGCTGTGGGTTTCCAGTGGGTTTGCTGTGCTTTCCCATAGATTTATTTTCTATGATGTCCTGAGATTTTGGTGCAATTTCAGAAAGCTCACCAAACATGCAGGAGTTTTGGTGCACTTTTTGAAACTGCACTAAAACCGCAGAATGTCATAGAAGTCTATACGAAAGCACAGCTAACCCACGTGAAGAGCACGGGTTAGCGGTGGGGCAGTGTGTATCCGCCCTCAAGTGTCCAGTAATGGTAAAGTCCAGGTCTAGCGCGGGGCCCCTTGGCTTTTTTCCCCTTGGGCCACCTTTCCCGCCCGCGCTGTCCTCACCTCTTCTCCCCGGCGCTGGGATTTTTTTGGGCCCACGCGAGGGGGAAAGGGCACACTTTTTGAACGGAGGGTTTTGGGTTTCAATTCCCGGAAAGGGGGGGGGGGGGGGGGGGGGGGGGGGGGGGGGGGGGTTTTGGTTTTTGGGTTAAATTGGGTTTTTTTTTGGGGGGGGGGTTTTTTTGGGGGGGGGGGGTTTTGTTTGTGGGGGGGGGGGGGGTGGGGGGGGGGGGGGGGGGGGGGTGGTTTGTGGGGTTGGGGGGGGGGGGGGGGGGGGGGGGGGGGGGGGGGGGGGGGGGGGGGGGGGAGGGGATTGGGGAAGGGGGGAAAGGGGGGGTTGGGGGGAGGGAGGGGATTTGGGGAAAGGGGGGGATTGGGATTGTAGAGTGGGGATTGGGTAAAATTTGAGGGGAAGTTATTTGAGTAAAGGGGTTTGGAAAATTTTA